CATACGCTTCCTCTAAGCGCAAAGCTACGGTAGCCCCGCTGCACCGCTGCTCGTGATTGGATATTCATCTCGACTTGCATAGAGAAGGCGATCGTTTCAGCCTCCAAGCGCTTCAAATACGACATGGTGGTCGAGATCAGTCGGACTTATGCTGAGACTTCGCTCCAGAAGATCATGATGTCGCTGGCTGGCAAGCCCATGGTAACGAAGCTCTCGAGCAGTTTGTACGCCGAATTCGCGATCGGGCAAGTATCGAAGCTCCTTGTTGGCGACCTACGCGTGAATGTGAAGGCTAAAGAAGGACGCTTGTGGCTAGGAGCGCACGAAGGTCAACATCCTTGATGGTGTATTCGTGTTCAATGAGTTCGGCGTACCTCGTAGCAAGTATATCATCACTATTGCGAATATTGACACGAACACCAACACAAACGTGATCCTCCGCCACTTGTTCGTGTTGAAATGCAAGCTGGTGTTCGACATGTTCTGCGAAACGAACTTTGACTTTGTGACGGAAATCACGTCTATCACCTAGCACATCTACTTCCTTACCTGCACATGTCCAGGCGCGTTGATGGTGAATGAATCAGAGTGCGACCATATCCTGTTCAATGATGACTTGTATCCGGCGCATGGCAAGAATGCCTCGTTTTATTCGGAATGTCGCCAATCAGCTACCGCTCGCCCCACGGCATCGACCTTGTGACGACCAACGACGAATTTCCTCGCCCAGCGTATCTCAGTGAATCTACTTCATAGCTGCAGCAGCATCTCCAAATTCGTACACGCGAGCAGCAAAAGCTCCGCCGAGGTTCACCGCGCTACAGAAGGCTGTCGAGAAAAACAAGAAAATAGGTGTTCAGCTCCAGAGCTAAACTCAGCACAGTCAGCAACCAGATGCCAACCAGCTCTCAACCCCCAAGCAGCAGGGACGTTGCACTGCCGATCTCGACCTTCAACGACTCGAGCGGCAAGATTCCTTTCCCTGGAAGTCAGAAGACGAAGAATCACCAATTTTGCTCTTGACTGACGGCTTCCCCACCGTCATGAACAACAACGGGAAACGAGTTCGCAGTGAAATCGATTTCACAGCTCTTCTGGCGAAACAGAAACCGATGCCACTGGATGGGTACGCGACCGATATCAACTCTCACGCGCTCCTGTCGATGGAAGGTCTTTTTCGAATCGAAAAAAGTGACAGCCAACAGGAAGTACGGTGAGCGTCGCCAGATCATCCCTGTGAATCTGAAGAGTCCTGATTTTGTGAAGACATCGACCAAGTCCGCCTCAAATGGAAAAGTACCGCCCGAAATTCAAGAAGGCATCCGAGGCATCTCCAGTCATGGAAGTGACCGAATCGACGATCGATGACGAAAACACGGTACTTCTTAATACGCCCTGATCGTCTCGCGGAAACTGACAAGAAGGTTGGCCGAAGGTGCAAGCTGCTCAAAAAGGTCACGAACGCCGACCACATCACAAAGAAGGAGATCCAGTGCCTGCTTGCCTTCACTAGCGCGTTGTCGCTAAAGCTGACAGACAACGGGGCCAAAATTGCTGAGCTTGCGCAGTTGCACACAATCAATCGTGTGTTATCGGGTAAAGACTTCACTTACGCCAGTGATAATTTACGTGCTGGGGTATTTTTTTATTTTTTGAAAAGTTGGGATATTTTTTTATATAAGGCAAAAGTTGGGGCATTTTTTTTATTCTCTCAATATAATATTAAAAATTTACATTTTTTAATAAAAAGTAGTAATGGAAGTGAGGTTTGCAGCGCACGTGTCCTCATAACCTTTTTCCTATGCATTCTTCTCGTCTTCTTAAGTATAGAGAATTCACATCAACTGAATAAACAAATTTCAAAAACACGTTATAAATTTCGCCCATTGGTGCTACATACATCGTATTACAAGATGTTGCGGAAATAATAAAAGCTCTTCTAGCCCACTGCTGATCGAATTCGTCTTCTTGCCGCAAAAACAAGATCCAGCTTTGACAAGCGTTTAGAGACCGTGGTCCTTTCCCAAACCTTTTCTAATAAACCTTTTACAGATCGACTCACCCATAAAAACGCCGACTCTGCAGCCGAAGTCTCGCAAAGCTCGGTCGGTAAAGCTGTCGAGAGGTTTTGACATAAAACAGCCAAAGCAGGTCAAGATACAACACTTATATCTACACCAAATACTAATCGGTAAACTCATCGCAAACTTGCTAATAATCGGACATTTTATCCGCTTTACTGTATCTATGCAGAAGCTGCGCACCCGATGCCCGTTCCTGAGCGAAAGAAATAATGGCTGACCGACATGGAGTTTACGCAAGATCCACGACTTACGAGCTGAATTTGGTCCAGCCAAGCCTTTCTGTTTGCAGCACAAAAGTCGTGACAACTTTTAGTAGAGTTCCTCTGGACTAGTTCAATGCGTGATAACCACCTTTCGCCTTTTCGCTAGGCACGGCATGCGCTCAGAACTTGCGCCGATAGCACTATTTGAGCCAATGGGTCACTGCTATTAAGACTTCCACTTGCAACCAAATTAGTAACGACTGGGTTCTTCGAAGCAGCTGCGAAAACAGGGACTATTGTAATGGGTTTCGCCAGAAAAGTCGAATATCTGCTGATTCAACTCTTCCAGCAAGTTAGTAAGGCACTTTGCCTTGCCGGTATCCGTTTTTGCAGACGTTGTTGCCCGGCTATAGCGCAGCTTTGCATGTTTTTTCAAGGTCAAAACTGCGATGTCGAAGTAGACAATGTCGCATCGTCATCTCAGCTCGTGCTATATGCAGGTCTTCTGAACCCCATGTTCCTGTTAACACAGTTGATACCCTAGGCTTATACTTGGAGTTCTTTCAGGTTTGACAAGTCGTAAATGTCAACGATGCCAATGCAATTTCTTAGCAGAAGGTAGCCCAGCACAGGAGAGCGGCTAAGGCATAAACTCAATTTTGAGTGACTTGTGGAAACGTATCATTTTACAGCATTAGCAGATCCACGTCGAACACAATATATTTGTCTACTTTTAGTAGTACTGAGAATGTTAATCAATCTCTGTACGGCGTAATCGTAACGATTTAGTGCAATTAGGCCTAATAAAGTCTGATTAGCTGCAGACATTGACTGTTCATGTGACTTTACGCCGGTTGGAAATATTTACCGGCCATTACAATTTTATGTGTCGTTGTGCATCTGCATCTTACTTCTGCGCATCCTCTCTTTCAGCATTAACATAGAAAACTTATCGCGTGGCGCTCAATCTCTCCAAAATGAGCCCTTTATTTTGCTATGAAATGTAGCCGAGCTGATATCAGCAAATCGATCGTTATCAATAGCATCCATTCCCGACTAGGACCAAGAATTTGTGCCTAAGCTTGGTCAATAAAATTAGTTATATGGTGTAGAGCTGGTCAAGTTGGTGCTGCATTTTAGCATACAGTCCTGAAGCGAAAGAACTTTTCTCCTGTCTCACAATTGCTCCGCGCAAGTGCTTTACAGAAAATTGACGCCGCGTGGTTAGCGCACACCATTTGAACATCAGCCTGGAGACCACAACATACATGTCGAGATCAGGTATTAAACACTTAGAAAAGTAGAGATTAAGCTCGTGCGATGGCAACCGACAAGCTATGGGAGCACATAAGCTGTCAAGACATAGCTAAGCTTTATCCTCGCTGACAACGGTGTCGCTGACAGCAGCAAGATGCGATGTCTCGATTAGGCAGTTTACGATGACCATAATGACTGTATTACCGGCTGCGTCCATTGAAAGATCAACGATAAATCCATGCTAATAATTCATCAGCGCTCTGCCAAAGTAGACAGAGTAGCCAAAGGCTGAAGCTTGCGACGACATTTCTACATATTGATAGGTTTCGTACGGTCTCGCATAAAGTTATCCATGTTAAGCCACCAATACATAGTGCTTATTGAGCTTGAGCCTTATGATTTCTAAGTCAAAATGGCTCACAGTGCCGAAGAATGTTTGGTGTCTCTCAAACTTGACGTTGCCTGTTGAGATGATCCATGAAGGAATACAACATACAATGGGGCGAAGGATATTGAGGTAAACGCCTTGTGAAATCCGCCAACAATACGACATCTTGGTTCAAGAACTCTTATCATCCCAATGCTAGAGCAATTACATGTTACATCTGACACTTATGGTTTAAATTTTGTCTTATCGATAAGAGACGTCACAATGGTGACATACATCTTCCATAGATAACGCGAAAGCGCGTTAGCCGTCAAAATTATCAGCTCGGATTTGACTCTATAACAAACACATGCATCGCGATTAAGGGCTTACCATCTGCTGTTATTTGAGATGAATGATTATCTACGTCGCTGAGCGTAACGACGCATAATAAAAAGATCAGGATAGCCTTTGAGCCAACACGATGTACCTTGTTTTTGACAAGAGCAATTTCGTAGCAATAGCTCTTTGCAATAAACCGAAACGTGCAATGACGACCTCCTGCGCAGGACCATCTGCTGGAGTGTAGCACAGACTATAGCAAGGGCTTAAGCATCACAGATGGAGTGAAGCGGGTGAGCAGAAAATAAATTTTAGAAGATCCAAAATAGGATACCAAAAATGTTTATCTTTCACTACGTTGCTTAAGAGTCGCCTATTTTGTGACACCTTAACATCCTTGACACCTTCTAAAAAAAAATTTGTGGAACTTTGCACTACGCTTGTGCATTTAGTTGGTCAAGGCCAGCCACTTCCTAAAACTTGCGGTCATAGCCAACCTACAATAGCCTTAAGTTTTGCTGGAGCGACCTCATTATACTGCGCAATGATTTATCACAGTTGACGTCAAAGTGATATTTGTATATGTTGCTTATAAAAGCGCACACACTATAGCATTTTTCCCGCGTATTTCTTTCCCGAGCTCTGCACGACTGCGAAAATGTATTTAACAAAATGGATTGCGCGAATGCTCGACGCAGTACCCCTAAATGGTTGAACGTCGCTGTTGTGTTGTATAGCCCTGAGGCAAGACCAGCCACTCCCCAGAGCAAATTTTACGGAGTACTTTTGATGTAGCAAAATTCAACAGCTTTCATGCTTTCGTGTAATCAATCATCTACTTCTACTAAGGCAAAAGATCTGAAGGATAACCGAGTATGCTGTTCTTAAGCTCATGTTTCAGACGTCGGCGTTTGCGTTGCAAGCATGTTCAACTTGCCACTTGCCATTTTCCTTTCTAAAAGAGAAAGCTAACGCCAAATGCGAGGTCCTCTCTACATCAGAGAAGTTGCTTCGCGGTCTTTACGAAAAAAATGGTATTTGTCGTCACAGTGTTTCATTGATAAATTGCACTGATGGACGCGTTTTACGAAGTTAGGCTCATGAATCAAATCAATCTTACGACGCACTTCCCGATTCGGAGGTTACAGCCGTGGTCATATGTCCTTGACGAAGAATAGTGGGATCTTTAAGCACTTAAGGTATTGACACGCTCACCATGACGAAAATGAGATCAACTCTCATTCCGCTACAAAATATACCATTACGGTGGTCTCATCGTCTTGCAACAAACTCGATTTAAAATACTTTATAAGCTCTACAAAAACCTTAGCTAAGGCATCCTCGTTTCCTTAGAACTACCCAACTCTCTGATTTTACGAGTGAAAAAAAACTTAACTACAAGAAGCTTCACTGATCCGAACTGTGGGTGGGTCACACGAAAATATTGATTTAGCTGGCTAGTTGATGATCAGTCTTTGACCTTGCTACTCGCGATTATCAGTAAGTAGCCTGTCGAGGCAGATAATAAGATGTAGCAGATCTTTAAACTTGGAACCAACAAGATTCATCTTTTCTGCTTGTATAAATAAAAGAGAAAATTTGTGATTATTTCGAGAAGCAAAACTCTGTATTGTCTAACCTTTGATGAGATTTCAGCAGGGATCTTCCTACGCACTAAAGCAAAGCGCATTACCATGCTAGTGTATTTGAAACGGAAGTGCTTGCGCGAATATTGCGAGTATCTTTCAAGTCGATGTTACAATTAAGAACTCGATGAGTCTTTTGACTCATTCCAGCATGACTGTTCGACAGCCTGAAAGCAATGACAAACTTTCTTTCACGAACAGTCCATGGCTGCTCAGTTACGCGTGCATTGATATCAAAATCGCGCACCAAATTTGACTTTCAAACACTTGGCATAAATTTTCGTATACATGGAGTGTTTCTGATCATTCGCATTTCTCTTTGTTCAAAATGCTTTGAATGAATGTATCGTCACTTGTAAGATTGACTCAAGCCTTCAACATGTTATCAAATTATTGTGAGCACACTATCTGTGCTCAATACAAGATTGGACTTGTTTACGTGTACAACCTCACTCATCAATTCCGTGAGAAGCTAAGAAACAAAAAGTATGATATTAAGTAAGAAATTTCGCTTTCTTTATCCCTATCGTGTTGTAGTTGATTACGATCGGGAGCACAATTGACGAAGCAATGCATGAAAATCCTCTCTTTCTTGCTGTCGTTCCTTGTGCATCTGTGCAAACAAACTCACAAGTTGTTCCTGTTGTTTTCCAACCAGTGCCTCCATGTACGTAGCATTCTCAGTCAAATCATCCGTTGGTTTGCGCTCGTGTAATATCGCTAACAACATCGCTTGGTTCTGCTTGCGCTCCTCCATTCTTTCTTCTCGTAAATCACGTAAAAGTTGCTCAAATCGAGCGTTCTGAGCCTCTAGCAACGCCTCAACAACCTGTTCATCAACTTGAGACCTTTCGTCGTCATTTACTATTGGCGACGGATGTTTAGTCGGTGGATCTTCTGCTTCCGACATGTCATCCGCATCTTCTGACAACGATGAAGTGGGTGATTGTATTACTGACTGGTCTGATGATGGATCGGACGACATCGATGACTTGCGTATCTTCCTACGACCTCGCTTTCGCTTACGACCGGTAACTGTGATAGTTTCAAGAATTTCTTCTTTTTCTAAAACACTGCCAATCGTCTGGTACGTTTCTCGATCAATTTCACAGCCGACACGTTGGCTCGACTTGGGATTAACAAGTTTTCGTTGCAAACGAAAACGTTCGGTAAACGTATAATCAAACCAGTCACTGCCATCTAGTGCTTCCAATCCATTCACACATTGACAAATAAAATTGTACGAATGAATGATACATCGTTTCTTGGCCGTAATGGACCCCACTGTTGTATCCTGCGATCCACCGAGTGCAACAAACTTTTGTCGAATTAACCAATTTGGCAACTTGACCTTTTCATCAGGTTCGTTTCCATAGTCAATAAATTCATCAACAGCTTCTTGCCATGCATCCACAAACATTGCCCAATCTTGTGGTGTCCATGCAGCTTTAGGAGTATCCACAAATTCCGCCTCGTCTTCAGGTTCAGGATTCTTGGCATGTGGACTCCTTTTCACAACTTTTTTGCTTAACTCTTTCCCCTTGTGATATTTTCCACCACCATTATTACCACACATACGATCAATCTTTCGAAAGAGTTCTGGACTTAGAATCAACAACCCCTTTTCCTTTTTCGTATAAGCTCGACGAAGCTCGTGTTGCTCAGCCGTCGACAATTCAAACCAGCTAGGAGTACCTCTTTTAAGACTTTTCTTGTTTGTAGCTACAATCAACCGATACGCTGTACACACTCGATGATGTTGACGAGTGACTGATGATAAACTTCGTCGATTGGAACTAGCGATGACACAAAATCGTGCGTGTAATGTAGCGCGTTCTCCCGTAGAAAGCATGAGACGATCCTTTGGGTCGTCTATGACCTCATCCCATGCTTCAATCAAGTAAAGTAATTCCCTGTTACCCCATGCCGAGTTACCACCAGGTGTGAGAGGCATTTTGATGCGAAGTAAGTGATGTATAGTTTGAAGAAATGGGGGCGTGTTCTCGACTCGCGTCTATTTCGTCTCACTGGCTGACAAGCTGATTTGTCAAAAACTGGTTATGTATACAAACTTTCAGTCAAGTGGGAAAATGGCGCTAGATTTGATACCATTATATGAAAGACTGAAAACGGGAGATCGAATGAATGAGAAAGAGTTGATGATCTACTGATGATGAGAATTTTCAATTAAGCAGAGACTTTCGAGTGGTCGTAACGAATGGTTCAGTCGATGAGTTGGATGAACGAATGTATACAATGAACAATGATATCAACTTTGCATGAAAGATGAGAGTCTAAGAATGTCTTTAGTTAAGAGACATCTTTCGGTTAGCGTGACTTTCGATAAGAAGAAAGAAAAACTAGGTGCAAACGTTTTGCTAGGAATCTATTACAAGTTAACGGCTCAATTAATTGAGTGGAAGCGAACTTTGAGCGTGAACGAATTAGCTGTTGAGCTGAGACCTAATCAACTTTTGAAGCTCTTTTGGCCTTAACACATATCTTGGCGTCCTCAACATCTATATTTTCGTTCCATTCTAAGCTCACATATGCAGATATTACCAGTGGAATTGCACTCAGTCTGATACCAGCAATTTGGCTTGCCATAGCTAACGCCATTTCAGCATTCGCCCAGAGTACCTAGTGTTAGTTGTAGATAGGGTCATCGGCCAGTACGCGAGTGTCGAGTCGTGAACCATTTAGACTCGTTAACACTGGCAATTCAGAGAGTAGAAATTAGTCCTTGAGTTTTATCGTATACAGGAACGAAAGGCTTTGCTCTGTGTCTTTTAGAAACTCATCACGAATTCTGCAAACCTTGTTTGAAAAATCCAGAAAATTTTTCATTCGCCGTATTCACTTCGAATCTCGATATAAACTGATATCAATATAAGAAATGTTGTCAAAGTTGTATTACGCACATACTGTTACATATTATGTCATTTGTCAGATAGAAACACTCAATTGAGTAAATCAAGTATCGGGCAGAATCATGTGGCTGCGCTCGCACCGCCGACATGAATCCCTTGAATAGTGACTTCATATCTACAACCATAGCACTCTAAAGCGCATCGCTTAACATTGGACCTTATCTCTGAAGAATGCGGATTGTACGGGACATTTAACATCGGAGTTGCCCTCTACCTTGCATCGGATCTACATGTCCACGTTCACTAAACAGAGAAAGTGGCTTCACATGCTTTACCCAGGAGAGGAATCAGAGAGCTTTTCAAGTTACTAGGTGCCTTAATTGACATACATGTAGAATTTGTGGGACTTTCGAGTATTTAACGCATCTGCTTTGCTGTCTACAAAATTAAACCTTATGTACTGCGAAGCATCAGACGTCCGTGTTCCATGGACATGGACGTCTTATTTTGAGAGGAGAAGAAAAGAGAAGAGAAGGGGGGAGAAGAGAAGAGTGTAAGTGTAAGTACATCATAATACGGTACGCCCTCCCCCACCTTAATGTGGAATCACGCTCATTTATGTCTTTTGGATACGCCGTGCGAAAGTGAGCCTCTACCATCATTATTGCTCGAAAGTTCTTCTCCTGTTCTTGCAATACTGTAATGAGCATAATCCACTGCGCGAGAATTCTCCCTCATATGTCCTCATGTAAGAATGAGCCATTCGTCGTAGTGGTTGTCCGAGTCCTGACCCAATGCCTGATCATCCACCGAGAATCAAACGCGGCAAACCCGTCTTCGAGGCCAAGAAACTCACTGCTTCGCGTTTCAAATTTACGAGTTGTGGCATTAATGCTTGTCCACTACAGCAGAAGGTGTTATGACTTCACACCGCAAAGCTAACAATGGTGTCGAGCGCCAAACTTCTCCAACCACAAGCGCAAGAGTAACGGCTACTTCTGCAGCCTCAATCACGTTACGATTATGAAATTAATTTGCGAGAAATACCTGGCACGTATACGCCTATACATGTAGGCTTCCGCTCAGACAGGAAGCAAACTGAGCCACTTCAAAGGAGATGTTCGGCTCCACAACCCACCGCTTCTAAGAAGCATTAATTCAGCGGCAAGGCAAGTCAGTGCCCTATCGATGGCTGCATCTCTGACATTAATGCTGGCATATTGCCGGAGCCCATATTGGTTCAACCAAGCATTGGGAAAAGAAGGAATGTTGTTGAGTAAAGATGACATCCGACGAGAGTTCCAATAAATGCTTGACGTTGCGAAGTTCAAAACAAGACGTAGAGTCGAGGTGGGCACTAATCGTTTCGAGTTATGCCAGAGGCGCCTGCTAATGTTTAGGATCCTTCTTATGCATCAGCTTTTGGACAAGTCTTAGAGCAGAAAATAAGGCTGGGCTTCGTTTGGCCATGGAAAGCACGCTTTACAGGGCGTTTATATCTAGTTTAAATTGGGGAGATGAAGATAGAGAGTGCCGCAAATCGTCAGCGGCAAAAGTGGTAGCAAAATCTTATATGAGTGGGACCTTAATCGCCAGAGATTTCCTCGAAGGCAGGTCATCGCATTCAGGTCATCAGTTACGAATTAAATACCTGGTGGTTCTGCCGGGCCACTATCCCCCTGCACAAAGAATAGTAACGATGGAAGGCAGCTATTTCGCGATCTATCTCATCTTTTTCGGGTTGCTGCCTCCAATCAGAGAGTCAACGTGCTGCCGATACCAAACCTTTTAGCCACCAGAATTGATGTGTGCTTTATCTGCTTCTAGGATTGACACATTGCTTTTGTGCATCTTTGTGTTCAGCCAAACGCTGCTAGTTCTCGAATAAGGCTCAGTCTCACCGTGATAAAATCCTCGAACTTGCTACGAAGTGTAACTGGGCATATATCAGCTAGTCAAATCATATCGACAGCCTTTCCAGCCTAAAATGCCTGAGGAGGTATATTTTGCATAATTAAGTGCATACATCGTAACATGCGGTGATTTGTAGTCAGGGCGACGCGAAATCACAACTGTATGCAGGAGCTTATTCGGTGTGAGGCGTAAGATGGGTGATCATCTGATGTTTCATTATTGCAGAGGACACTGATACCCAAGACTCAACGTAATAGCGTTGCTGTGCACCTTGCACTAAAAAAGCTTTGACTTAGCGATTTCGCGCTAGTAAGCGCGCAGAAGATAGGAGCGGAGCCGAGGTCCTCTCAAGCTCCTTAATTTTCTAATCTTAGAGCTCATATGGACAACAGAAAGCGATAATTCAAAATTCGCTACTGATCTTTGCCCGAAAGCTTCTAAGATCACTTAGTGATCATGTTCTTTCCTTGATGAATTTCTTGACAGCATTATTCACTCGTGCCATCCATTACAGGCCTTGTCATTGCTGACCGCATCCTCTTTTTGAGACTCTTTTCAAAAAGCCAAATAGCTTTACACGGTTCATTGATGACAGTCTTGTTATTCGCGTGATAAAAAATGCCTAACGAGTTATCTGCTCACGCATTAAAGCGGGAATGAATTATAGTTGAGATTTTTCATGGTAGCTAAGGATTATTCTGAGCCGAAAATCACTTTGTGTTGTCTGCGTGGAAATAGAGCAGACTGTGCACGAGTCTTAAGACTATTGTACGTTAAAGTTTTGTATTTTCATCCGCGACAACGGCAGCTCATAATACCTAGGAAATCGGAAGAGCGTGTACTTTGTGAATGCTGTAACTGAGTCAGAAGTTCTTTACAAATGGTCTTTTATTTTCCTTGGAGTTTCAGAATGACATTGCTGAACAGTGCGTGGCTTACAGAGTTCGAAGGATAAAAGGATGATGCAGCTGAGAACGTTGCTTGCTAGCAAAAGAACTCACCACGAATTTTAGGTTCAAGTGCGCAAATAATGAGCATTGACGTTATCTCGCTGCCTGTTTGGCGCCCAAATAATAGATACAGCGTCGTTAAGGTGACACAAACTTTTGCTTCCTCAATCTATAGGACGTCCTAGTGATGCACCGATATTCTGCTACTCGCGAAGTCGATATACCGGTTTTCTTACCTCTATTACTTAATATCACTTAAACATTGTTTTTTTTAATCATATTACTTCTACCATTGATATATCGAAAATTTTCTCATCTTTATGACAGAAATAGCTTTAGTTATTGGAGGTTTCATTTTATCGACACCTTGACTACGGTCGATATCATCTTGACACTATAATGAAGCGATCACTGCGTGTAGGAGATAGTGTTAAGGCAAAATACAAACGTGGGACAAAATATTTTCCCGGTACAATCACTCGTGAGCGTACGGATGGTACGTATGATATTCAATTTGAAGATGGTGATATTGCAGAGCGAGTAGATGAGAAATCTATTCAACAAGTTGAAAAAGTTGGCGATCAAAAGTTTAAATTTCAAGTTGGTGACATTGTGAAAGCACCTTTTGAACGAAGTAGTAAATTATATCGAGGAAAAATCTCTCGTGTTCATAGTGATGGAACATACGACGTTGATTTTGATGATGGAGATAAAGACACGCATATTGGAGCGAAAAAAATTCAAGTTGAAAACTTGATCAATACTAAGAAAGTTGTTTTAAAAGCTGGAGATGCTGTCAAAGCTAGATTTAAGAAAGGAACAAATTTCTTTGATGGAAAAATCAGTCGAGTTCGTAGTGATGGAACGTATGATATTAAATATGATGATGGTGATGCTGAAAAACACGTTGCTATTGACTTGATCGAAGTTTTGGAACGTCAGAAGACGGACGATGTGGATAAAAGCAGATTAGAAAAGTCTTTTCAAAGATTTAAGATTGGTGATAAAGTGCGTGCTCGGTATAATAAAGGGAGCAAGAAGGTGAAAGGAGAAATTATAGCTGTACATCGGGATGATACATATGATATTCGATACGATGATGGTGATAAGGAGAAGCATGTGTTGATTAAAGATATTGAGTTAGAGGTGGAAGAACGAGAAAGTCGGAAAATTGCGAGCATACTCAAGGTGGGTGAGGCTGTAGAAGCCACTTACCAAAACGGTGTCAAGATGTTTGCTGCCAAGATTTCTAAAGTTTATATTGATGGCACCTACGATGTTACATTTCTAGACGGGGATTTTGAACAACGAGTATCTCGATCTCGCATTAAAACGATAAAAGAAAGTGAGAAAAGTACTTTTGTCAGTAAAAATCAACGAGTTTACGAAAGTGATCAAAAAGCTGAAAAAAGTGTGCGTGATGAACGTTTTGAATCGCAAAATGATGCGAAATCGTCTCAATATGATGGAGAAGAAAAACACTTTGTATTGGGAGAGACAATTAATGCTCGGTACAAGAAAGGAAGTCAATTCTTTCCTGGAAAAATTACTCGTGTGCGATCAGATGGTACGTATGACGTACTTTATGATGATGGAGATACTGAAATGTATGTTGAGAATAAGCATATTGAAAGGAAAGACAAAGAGGACAAAGTCGACAAGAAAACAATAGAAACGTTTACTGTTGGTGATAAGGTTAATGCTAGATACAAGGGAGGATCAAAGCATTTTTCTGGTACGATTGTCAAAGCCAGAATGGATGGTACATTTGATATCACTTATGATGATGGTGACAAAGAGCTACGCGTCAAGAGATCGCTGATTAAATCTGTTGATTATAATAAAAAATCAACGAGTTTCGAAAAATCAATGAACGAAAAGGTCGAAAAGTTTGATGATTTGAATTCCGAAAGCAAGACAAAGAAACGAGATGTTAATCTGTTTCAAGTTCATGACGTTGTCAAAGCGAATTTTAAGCAGAAAGGCAAGTTTCATCGAGGCAAAATAATACGATCGAGGTTGGATGGCACGTTTGATATCGAATATGACATTGGGGCTTTCGAAAAGCACGTGCTTATTGAAAATATAAGGATTGACGACAACAATACAAACGGTGTAGAAGCTAAAGCTTCAACTCCGATAGACGTCGATCGGGAACCATTGCCAACCAAGACAATTGACACTGAATCTGAGTCTGAAAATCAATGTACGATCAAAAAGGGAGATAAAGTTACCTTTCGAAACGCTAAGGATTTCAAGTCTCGACGAATTGGGATCGTGCGTAAACTTTATACAGACGGGACTTCGGATATCAAATACAGTGATGGAGATATATTGAAACGGATTGAGAAAAGATTATTGGTTGTGTGCTCCGATTCCGAAGATTCCGAGGTAGAAATAGCAAATGAGTTGACGAAAAAGTCCCCGAGTTTTCATCGTCATGAGAGTGTCATATCGTGTTGGCGACGCTCGAGTTCACTCTCTAAACCGCGAAAAACAAAGAACTGGATTGAGGCAATCGTGCTTGAGAAAAACTCGGATGGAACGTATACGGTGCGTTTCTATTTGATTGAGCTCAAATGCTGTCAATTGTTAATGATATTGTGTAGATTCGATACAGCGATGGAGTTGTCGAAGAAGATGTACCATCAGAAGCTTTGAAAACCAATAATGAGGAGAACGATAACATTAACTTAAACGAATCATCGAGAACTAATGATATGGTTTCGAAGAGAAAGAAGCGCATTAAGAAAAGGTAGAATATATTTTATCATTTTACTGTCGGATGACTGACAGTCTTTTGTCAAGGAAAAGTGGATTTGGTACCGAATCTTTATTTCTACTCGAGCAGCTTGCTATGACGGTTTGTACATGATAAACACACGTTGATTTAATAGTTTACAAATGTTGTGATTGATTATACTAGCTGTTTGAAGAGGGTGTTTTGAGTCAAAAGCCAAAATTGCAGCTATTCCAGGGTAATGACAGTTCAAGCTCTGACACGTCTTCTTCCAGTACTGATGCCGAATCTGATCCAATGAAAAGAAATTGCAAGAAAACCGAAGTGGACAAGGTACTTTTACTCTCTTTGTGCTTCTATCACTTATTGACTGTGAGATTTGATAGATACTTGAACGGCTTTTTGGATCTGATTTCTTGCAAAAGTACCGACGAATGTTTAACGAGAATGATAGCAAACAATCTGGAAAGATATCAAAACGACGAATAATCACATTAGTAGAAGAGTTTACAAAGAGCAATCGAGATTGCAATAGTATTACCACAGTCAATCACATCTTGACAGAATGGTTTGCTACTCATGACGATCTTCGAATTCATCGACATTTTGAATTTAAGACTTTTCTATTAGCACTTGCTTACACTAAAAGTCGAATGGGAAAATTGGCAATGGAGCAAAGCGTTGCAACGGTGTTAGAAGGCAGATTTGCATCTTATCATGAGATCAAGAGACAGCAAGAGATATGGCAACAGAAATTAGGCTACCGTCTTTTTGAAACTCTTCAACGGCATTTTCTTGATCATGCATTGCCTCATTTGATACCTTCACGAATTCAAGTATCACAACTTTCTTTAATCTTTGATCAAGTTAGTCGAAATTCCATACCGAATAAACCACTTGACGTTTACTTGCAACAAAAACAACTTTATTCACATCATACGCTTCTTCTTCCAGAATTTCTATGCTGCTACTTTCAACTATACGGATCAGAATCAATAAATTCTTTTCAATGGAGGAATGCTGTAGAATTAAGACCCATTGCATTTGTCGCATCGTGTCTGTTTTCGAATGGTGATTACATTTGCAAACGTCATGGAGATCTCGTTCGTAGACTTTCCGTTGGTCGCACACAAGCTCAAGTGGATTATATTCTTAAATTTCGAGAAATCTTTGAATCACTACTAAATACCGAATACTCAACTTCTCACGATGAAATGCTTTTGGAAACATCACAATTGTCGGTATTTGCTGCACGAGTGGCTTCGGATCCCATCCAACTAGATGCGGCAATGACAACACTTCGTAAACGATCCGGAGCGGTGTCTTTGGTCGAAATCTACGCAACGTGTGGTTTCATTATTGATGAAGTTACTGCTGCACCTACAATACGAAATGCCATTGATAGACTACGAATGCGTAATGAACTAGCTGACGTTCGTCGAATTATTGGATTGATTCGGAGTATTTGTGTTAAAATCTTACGATTTCCAAATAATGCAGATTATTGGCGACTTCGTGCAGATACTAGCGCGTTTCAGCACAAACTTGGACGTTTTGATGGTGGTACAAGTCTTTTAGAAGCTGTTGGTTTTGTTGAATATCATAAAACACATTATGAGTTACGAGGGATACGAAATATAGAAGGCAAACGCGTCAGTGCGCTTGAAAAACCAACTCTCGACTCGTTACGCGAGAAAAGTATTCAACTTGATGGTGAACTTGCTCTTGTTGACGGTGTGGAAAGTATTAGCTCAGTATTGCAACGAATCTCTAGAGCGTGTGCTAGCAAAGGTAAAATCTTTACACCCGACGAATGTCAATTGATTTTAAAAAGTTTATCCTTGTACATTGTGAATATATTGAAAAATCCAAAAGATTCGAGATACTGGCGAATTCGAGAAGCCAACAGTATTTTTCAACGTCAAATTGGATACTTACCGCATTCTGTTGAATTGATGGATTCCATTGGCTTTGATCTCTTGCAAAATTATCATGGAAATGTTTTTACTCTTCGAGGAACGGGATTAACGGGAATAGGAACCAAAAAGTCCAATTCGGCACAACCTTCAGCAAGTTTTTCATCCTTTACTTTTTCCAGTATCAGTAGTCAAATGGAATGGTTTCTATGGCGTCGAAAGCAAGAGATTGACAGTCTTTTGGAAGACGAAATGCCTTTTCTTGACGATATTGTTGGACACTTTTCTCAAAATACTTCAAATGAAACGACAGAAGATAATACAAGTCGGCATGATAGCAGGAACGAGCAAAATACTAGTCTTGTCAAGATGTATCCTTATGGCACAAATGCTATTGAGACATTCAATAAGACTTCAATTCAAAAACATCAACTTGATATGACACGCTCTGTTTTTAAAATGATCGATTCAACTTCAAAAGGATATCTAACAGAATCAGACTTTGTACGAGTGTTTGGAACACCCGATAATCTTCCAATTTGGTCACGTTTTGAAGCGTTTGATATTGGAAAAGATGGTAAAGTTGATTTAAATGACTTTGTAGCAGCTTTGGGTCCCCTTCTTGATCATTCTTATGAGCTTTTAAAAGACAAACGCGGTGAACTTAAAGCATTTGCAGTTGATAGCGAGACTAGCCTTTCGTTATGTGAGCTCACTTCGTTATCTGTTGGGAATCTTCGATTGGAAACAGGCTGTCCAGATGCTATAATAGCATTAGAAAATCTACTTCATCACCTCTATTGTATCATTCAGGAGCCACAAAACTCTTCACTATGGTTGATAAATGACAAGCAAGCAATTGGAAACAAGTTTCTTCACTTTGCTGCTGGTCGTGAACTTTTACATCTTATTGGATTTCGAGAAATTTTGTGCACTGGAGACGAAAATGCTTTGAAAACGGTGAAAAAGTATCAACTTAAACCTCAACGAGTGCGATTCAAGACATCCGAAATTGCATCTGATCTTCCTACATCTCTTGATTCAATTACATTAACTCGAATTGAAAGAATTGCAGCGATGCTTGCTGGACACTATCGTGGTATGAAACTTTTGTCATTAAGTGACATCAGTGCAATATCAAGAGCGATTTCAAGTGTAGATCGTTGTATAGAGGATTGGATACGTGTCGTTCAATTGGCACTCAAATGTCTTTTAAACATTGAAAGTTATCCAGAAAATATGCGATTTCGAGAGCTCAACACGAGTACAAACACGTTTATTAACGTCGTTTCTTGTGTAAATGGAGGTTTGCAATTGTTTTTCTTTCTTGGATTTCGAGAAACAACTACAAAATCTCTAGCACTTCCTTTAGATGTGACAATTGATGAAGTAAAGGCTCGACATTTCGAACTTGAGGTTGGATTAGCTTTATTACAACAACATTCTACCAATTCAACTTCCAACACGATTCGTTTGACGATTGAAAGAGATTCCATGTTAAAACAGCCAAGTGAAAATCATCAACAAGCTCAAAGTAATACAAATCTGATTAAAACTTCATCGGCTCAAGTTCGTCAAGTTAAAACTAAGCCGATTATGCTGAAACAACGATCGCAATTCGAAAGAAAATGGAAGAATATCACTGAACGAAAACATATTCAGCCATTTTCGAAGAAAAAGACAATAGTTCACGAACGAATGAAAGGTAGATAGATCATGTAACTCTGTAACAATATAACTTGAGCTTTCTAGCTCATACTTTTATTACAAGACGATGTTAAGATTGTCATCTTTGGGTTTTTGGACCTTTGCCCGTCTCAAAAGTCGAGAGTATCCAACTGTGTAACCCTCAAATGTAGCTATAACATGTCGGAAGATACGGTTTCGGTGTGCTGACTCGTCGTATTCCAACTCTTGGTCACGATGGGACGTTCAAGTGTGGAGACCAGTTTTCGACTTGAATGCAACGCATGTTGAAACTTGTACGCACTTTCAAGCCTAACGTTACTATCCAGCTGTTGTGTAATCTATACGTACCCCATTGCCTTGTGTAACTTAATAATCACGATAACCTCAAGTATACAGAAAAAAAAAGAATACCAAGTTATGGTCCAAAAAGAAATGTATACAAAGTCATAGTCAGAAACAGGGTATTTATCTCCGACCCTATCCCTCTCCTTTTTGTGTCAATCGTATGCACTCAACTCACTCTTTAACTCGACTGAACGTGCGTCGTTCATTGCTGCTGGAAATGGCGGCGATACCAAGTGCACGAGTTACGAAACCTGGTCGTACAACTTTATATGATTTCTATCCATTAAGTTTACGTCCATTTCTTGCAAAGAAAGAAGAAATACCATCAATTGTACGGTCTAAATCGCATTCAATGGGAGATTTAGGACCTTGTACGACAAAACTGGACGACCATGTCTTTCATACAACCTCAGCATCACTTGATACACTTCATTTGCACGATCGCAGGGTACAGTCGTTCATTTTTTTCTTCTTTACTTGATCTTGTACTCACAGTTACGTTCTTGTACTAGCAACCAATCGAAATAACTTCTTCCGATCCCTTTCGTACATTTCAACATGAAGTGTTTGAGCCAAAAGAACGTTCGAAAGTTTTGAGTGTTTTACGTCATCGTAGTAAAGCAGTACTGAAACCATCTCATTTGTACGCACGTTCTTTTGTACGACCAGTTCCTCCGTCCACATTTACGACCGACGATATTTTACGTACAGGTTTTTTGACAAAACAAGGAAGTTGGCGACGTAATTGGAAAACCAGGTTTTTTATTCTTCGAAGTGATTGTCCCAGTTTATGTTATTTTACATCAGAAGAAAAATTGGATTTATTAGGTGATATTGCAATAACGCAAGATACAATAATTTTAGATCGAAGTGGTGGTCATGCTCCTTTTCGATTTCAAGTTCGTACCGATGCTCAAATTTTATTACTTGAAGCAGCAACTTCTGAAGAACAAAAGTGGTGGATTGACTCATGTCAAGAATTAGCAGATGCAATACGTGCGACGAAATTTTCAAGTCAATCACGACCCAATAATATTGAATCAAGTGGCATATCTTGTCATTCAAATGATGAGAATGAAGTGAATATGACAATACGTTCAACTCGTTTACCTGGTCATCGCATAACGGAAAGTAGTGCTAGTAGTTCAGCACGTTCTGGAAGTCACGAGACACTAATTTCTTGTGATTCTCAACTTTATGATTTGTCAATTGCAATAATATTGGGAAAAGATTGTCAAATAGTTCGAGAAGTCGAACAAATGGTTGCTACTGAACGTGAGAAAGATCGAAGTGCATGTTTTGTGTCTGTAAGTGGATATATCAATCGTACCAATACAATTATTGAACTTGGTATCACAGATGCAATAAAATTAACAAATATTGTCACCTTGTGTCAATCTGAATCCAAAAGTTCGTTTGGAATTCCATTTTCACTTGTTTTAACAACAGAAATTGAACGATATGATGAATTACGTTTTGGTTTATATAAAACATCAATAACACAAAGTCCAGGAACATGTCAAGGAACGTTTGGAATTGGAAAATGTAATGTGGATTGTGAATTTCTCAATTCGAAACCTTGTAAAGTTTCAATAAATTCATCGTTTCTTGTGAATCCACGACTATCTCAATTTCAAACTTCATTGAAATATTTTATTGATTCAAATGCAATTCAATTAATTGTTCAAGCATTTGAATCTATTTCTCCACAATCAATTCTTCCAACAAGTGGAATTGATATGGCAAATACGAAATATTTAATTCCAACAACTTTATCTTTTGAACGAGAGATTCAAAGTGACATGACAATTGATTTAATTCCTGATATGAATCGAAATAGTCAAGTACGTACATTTTTGGAAAATGATACGTTTCTTACGAATCAATTTGAATCTGGAATTGAAAGTTGGAATGAAAAGTTACGTTATGTAGCAATTGATGAAATTTTACGTGTTCCACGATGTACATATGCAGTACCAATTGCATTTTTAGATTATCTTGAAGAACAAGCATTAGAACGATCACGATGGATTCAAAAACAAGTTGAAACTCAAGAAAGAAATTCTCGAATGACATTGGAATTGGAATTTTTACGAAAGAAACAAGAAGAATATTTAAAACAACGACAATTTCTCATTCGACAAGAAAAACGATTAGTAAATGAAGGAAATAATGGCGAAATCTTTCAAGCCTTGAAAAGTATTGGAATGATTTCAATTTCAAATGAAAAGGAAACAATTGGAACATTTTCATCTTCAATTGGATCAACAATCAATTCGGAAAATGAACTTCTTGCACCATTTAAACGAAGTACGTACAAGAATTTGAATTTATGGCAATTTGTACCAACAAACATGCAAGATCAATTCATTTGTACAATGAAACCATCCATGGAATCTTCATGTCAATCATTTGTATGGCATACAATGACAATGGGATGTCCAGCAGCTCATACAAAAGGATTTACAAATGGAGGATATCCAATGTCTGAATCTTTTCAAAATATCAATTCAAATGATGATGAACCAATTGAAAAGAGTCAAGAGATTGAAAGTCAAAGTCAAACATTTGCAATCAATGATTTGAGTCTTTATTCTCAATCTCATGAAGATTCATTAAGTGCTTTGAAACAACGTCTGGAATCTCAAGATCGTTTAAGTATCATAAGTAGTCAAATTTTATCAGCTACAATTGCATGTCTTTTAGCATCATTTGATCTTGCACGAAATGGTAGTGTATTTCATCAAACTCAACTTGATCGAAGTGAAAGATTTGGATATTTTCTTCATTTTGAATCACTTTTAAGTACACAAGGACAAGAATATGGCATGTTAGAAGATTTTGCTGCAGGTGTTCGATGGCTTCGTCATGTATTTCTACAATTTCGTCGACATTCTACAAGTGGATCGTATTTTTTATTGAAACGATTGAATTCAACTGGACATGATGATCAAAGTTTAGTTTTGACTATGGGACTTGATGAAAATGATATGAAACTTTTACCAATCAAGTTACAATCAGGTGAGACGATGATTCCGATTCATTGTGTTTTATTTACACAAGGAGTGAATGAGAAACAAAGTCTTGTACATGCTTATAAATCAAGTGCAGTGAAATTACAAGAACGTGTAAATCGAGAGAATTTGTACGAATTGAAACGAATTTATGGACTGTACGATCAAGTGCGTACAAATGAACAAAAAGATTGTCCAGATTTGGTGCATTTTGAAATTTTATTGCAGCAAATTGAACATCAAATTTTGTCATGTACAAATCAATATAAAAAAAATGTAACCCTTTTAATGGATACGTCGGACTTTTGTCGTGCTCTTGGAGGTGCACGAGTTACATGTTGTAAAAGTGGAAAAGATCGAACTGCTATGTCAGTCACATTGGAACAAACTCGATTACTTTGGAAAGAAATGCAATCTTTTCAAAATTTAAGATTGTGTGCAAACATGAGATTGTACGGTGTACGACGACGAAATGTTTATTTGAATACGAAAGCAGATAAATTTGCATTTAATGAAATGCAACGAAAAATGTTACCGGAATGTTTTAAACCACCTCCAGGAACATATAAAGCGGGGAAAACATAACCTTGAGGGTACATGGGTATAACGTTAACAAGATGATGGTTTGGTTGGAAAGTTCTGTGATGCAAGAAGATACGAATGAAAAGCGGGGGAGATCCAGATTGGATGATGATGCACTGGTTGGTTTCTCACGTCAGATACTGGAGCTTTTGATAAGAATGACTATAATGTACCAAATTGTAAGTATACATTTAGAAACAGGTTACAAGGTGACAATTTCGCACCTGTGTATCCACTTTGCATGCAACTTTTTGCTTGATTCTTGCAACGTCGCAATTGTTGCGAATGGTGTTGCATGGTGTTTTTTCACGATTGTGGCACAAATGTTTAGATATACTACGAAAAGTGTGGTTAAATGACGGCAAGTGTGTTAACTTTGGTTGTCGAGATGTGTAGTCTTGACATTTCATGGTTTCTAAACGCTTAGATAACTCAAAAGCACGAATCTCAGCAGGTTCACAATGAGAGTGATCGGCTACGTAATCAATTAAAGCATGTTGTGGCCAAGTAACATGCGATGTCTCCCATTTCTGTCGCGTTTTACGTGCTTTTCGCCGTCGTTTACGCAATCGTTTCCGTCGAATTGGAAAATGTACTAGACTTTGTCGATCATCCAATTTCGAAATGACAATTTGTGTATCAATTGGTGAGTGATGAGGTACTGTTTCTAAAGAAGACACAATATTATTGACATGGGTGTCTTCTAATGACTGCACCGAAAGGCGCTCCATGAGTGCCATCATGTTCAAGAACCGATCATTGAGTCTCTGCTTTGATAAATACGAGTCACATGTTTTGTCACAGTCTGTCTCTTCATCAAATGTACTCGATTTATCGAAAACTGCCTCTTGTTGTACTGCGTTCAATAATGTTGTTGCTTCAACTGTCGTTTGGACTCGGTCCAATATATCATTCTGCTTTTCATTCGGTGATTTGTCTTGAATACTATTTGACTCTTTCCTCGAAATTTGTAATGGACACTTGAGATATCCACGAGGCAGCAATGCTAACGATGGTACCTTGCGACGTACGATGTTGGATGCCAAACACGAGTTAAAGTCATGAGGCATTTTGTGCACTAAAGTTGAGACGTAAGCTTAACTTAGAGGTCTATATAAATAGCATTATATTTATAATGTTTTTTGGTTGATACTTTCTTTAAGTCCTGAATTCAAGTCAAATTTGAAAAGTACAGCAATAATAGTAGTAGTAAAAAATTACTTACTTCAGAGGTGATGGCTGATGGAGTGCAATACTAAGCGTCAATAGCTGCCGGATTACCCTCAAGATAGCGCTTTACTTAACTAAATACTGGTATCGATGCAAGAACCACAAACTTTAATTGAATATCGAGTAGGAAGCCACCGATGCGCGGGGTGTAACTATAAAGAGCTAGTCGTCAACAACTCCCATAATTTAATTATATACAAAATAGTAGTATAATACATTGACAAGTCGCATGAACACACATGATATTATAATATATAAGATCAAGTTATAATAATAACTACTTGCATATATAATATAGTAATATAATAGGCTGTAAATTACATCACCTTATGTACATGTTCATGTGTCACTTAATTACCGCTGACTAGCAAGATCGTGTTTAGTCAAAAGTCATAATGAAGAACGGAGATGTCAAAATGGTGACTAAATGACTCCATTGCAGCGTTAGAAAGCAATTGACCAACATATCGTCGCAAATTGGTGTTTAATGAAGTGCATCAACGTAAAAATTGTGACGATCCTGCTTTGGTTGTGACTTTGCTCAAGGATATAAAGCTGATGACATTGATCAAGAGACAACAGTTACCAGATCAATAACTACAAATTATCGACGCCAAAACTAACAAAAGAACATGTTAATATGTATATTAAAGTTCGGGACTCTTGTGAGCTTAATCATGAACTGTCTTGAGGTACTCTAACATCTCGGTAGCAAGCATCCTTTGATCTCTTTTGATAAGATCGCTTTTGAACTGAAAATCGTTCTCAACAGCCAGTTGAAGCCAAGCCAATTGTTCTTCATTCTTGAGCATCGCTCGAAACACATTTTTCAATTTTTTCTTGCTCAAGACCGCTTCAAAATTCTCTATCTGGGTTCTGTCATGCAATGCCGCTTGAAACGAATTGACACGATCATCATCCTTAATAGCCACTCTGAGAAAAAACACTTGATTGACATCATTTAAAATCGTATGGATCACCTCTGCAAAGTCCTCATTACCCAATGCCGTCTTGAACTGTGAAATCACTTGATCTCCTTCCAAAAGTAATCTAAACAGCTCCAATCGCGTATCATCCCTGACAGCCTCTTTCAGCAAATCCACTTTCTTCTTGTGTGCGAGTAGTGCTTTGAACATATTCATCGAATCCAATTCTGTACTGCTCAACATGTCTTCAACTAATATGAGCTGTTCTTGTTTCTTCAAAGCTGCCGTAAGCAATTCGACATGTCTATGATCCTTCACAATTTCTTTAAGCAGCCACAAATTTTGATCAATTTTGACCACCTCATCGAGCATATCACGAACCTGCGCATTAAATAGCGCCGCATCAAGCACCTCTTTTGATCCAGCTTTACTGAGAGCCTTTTCAAGGACATCCAGATGCTGAGAATCCCCCACAACCTCTATAAGCAATTGCATTGCTTTCTTGTCTTGAAGCACCGCTTCAAACATTTTCACCGATTTCTCATCACTCAATGCCGCCTTAAATAACTCAACCTGGTTCGATTTCGTCAATGCCTTTTTAACCAACTCCACTTGATCGTTAGACTGCAAAATAGCTTTAAACAAACGCACTTGATCCGCATCAAATAACGCCCAATCGAACTTTTTCCGCAAATTGGTTTCAAGGGCCGGTATCTCTGATTTCTTTTCCGCCATCTCAGTAAAAATCTTTTCTTGGTCATCCTTCAATATTCCTTGTCTGTCTTTTAAAAATTTATATACCTGAGGCATGACAAAGGCAGAACTCTTTGTCTCGTGCTCAATAAAGCCAAAGCGAGTAAAGGCAGCAAATTCCAACCAAAGATCTTGGTGAGGTAACCAATGTAACGCCGAAATGACGTCGAAAAATGCCATAAGGTTGCCATTTTGCATTGTTTGTAATCGAAACGCCAGCTCGACGGTCATACGCCGGGTCACCAAACACTTGATTAAATCACCAACTTTGTTGTTCACATCGATAATCTGAGAGGTTCCTAGCCAGGTTAATAAATTCCCATCCTTACGATCAGCTGTGAGGAAATGATATACCTCGTTTGAGACTTCAATTTGATCATTGTCTTCTCTCGTCAAATGCCAGTATTTGTGAAAGTAATTTAGCAATGGATCTTGCAGCCCATAATGGAAAAAACTCTCCAGGCTTTCGTCCTTCGTATGACTCATCAAAATGTCAAATACTGTCGATAATCTCGTTTGAGATTGGAGTAATTGATCTTGGAAAATCTCGGATGACGCTTTCTTTGTAAGCAAGAAGGCGATGTTGACGCGAGCAAAAAACTGCAATTCCAAGTCATTGACTTGGAGAAGACTCAGAAGGTGTCCATATAGCTTCTGATTTTGCACGTCATCTCGTTGGTAAAGGGACATCGCCTTATTTATAATCTCCACCAAGTATTTTTTTGTGCTGATACTGCTACTTTCTCCAGGTAACAAATTATTCTGGAGTGGCGATGTCGATTTCGCTTTGAGGAACGAAAAAGCTCGTGATTCCTTCTCAGTCTCATCGATGTCGGTATTGTCTTGCACACTTTCATTGTAACTCTTCAACACTTCCTCACCACTGGTCAAGTTGTTGTTTGCAGAAGGTAGCAAATGATTCAAATGGCGCACAATGACGACAGGATCGCTTGTACTCGAATTAGACGCAGAGCACATGCTGACTTTAAGCAGTAATAAGGTTGAAACGGTCGGCACGATCATCGTTAGGAATATTCGAAAATAATGATGCGCAGATCTATGATGCATCATTTGTCTAGAATTCAAGCTGTCTATCCACTGGATAGTATCCAGCTCTTGAGACATTTTATTAGATTCAGTACTTGAAAATTCCGAAATCGTGCGTTTTGAAGGCACTCATTCAGCTATGATGATACGGTTGTGAGACTTCGCAGCCAGTCGTCGATGGCTACACAACTAGCTCCCACCTGTTAACCTTCCAGCTGTTTAAAAGCAAGAAGATTTTTTTGGGGGGTGGGATAAGATTGGCTGAGAAGAGCTATGCACAACAGTGCGAAGGACTAGCGGTGTCCCAGCGAGGGAGCTACGTGCAAAAATGGGCAACTCCGTATAACACCTTCGTAGAGAAACACTTTCCTTATCAAAAGATTGAAATGCGAGATTTCGCACGTCTATGCAGGCGTTCCGTGCTCTTGTGCAATCTTCAGGGGTGCGAAGACTAGCGGACTATGTACATTAGTTGCAAACATTTACCGCCGCGATGGCGTAATAGATCCTCTCTAAATGCATTCTTTAACATTGTTAACCTTCATGGGAGATTTCAAACTGGTACGGCTCGTAATCCCCACATGAAATGCAGACAAAACCTTCCGAGCCATAAGGTCGGCTGGAGCTAGTGATGTGGAAAATTTATAAGCGCGTCAGAAGCAATGGATTGTAGCCATGCTGAGGAGGAAGAAAGCGGTTTCTTGGCTGCCGAGAAGCTCCATGGACCTCGCTGATGATTCATTCAAGATCTGAGCTCTGCATGTCCACTTTCCTATCGGCTGAGAGGTACGAAGGGTAGACCCACGCAGAGTCGTCCAACGTACACCTCGCGCGCAAAATTGGGTCCCAGAAGGTGCACTGGAAAAGTATTGGGGATCTATTTGTACCTCGTGAAAGTCGAGTCAATGGTTTCCAGTCCTAAACATATTGCTTACTCTAAGTGTAGTGGTTTTTCTCGCTCTAGATGCCTGGCGTCTGGTCGGGGACACCGATGACGTCAAGTGTGAATACAGTATTCGTGTGCCTTATGACGGGGACATGTTGATAGTTCAGCCGATTTTTCTTTGGGCTCAAAATTTTGACGGCGAAGAACGTTGTCTGGTCTTAAAGCTGGCTTCAAAATACGATCTCAGACTATAAGTGGCGGAGTTTGAACGCTACGGGACACAGTTCGACTAGTAGCAAAGAAAAACTGATGCCACGCGAGGATCTATGGTAAGTCATGAGTCACCTCTGCTTAAAAGCGAAAACGCTTCTGTGCGCGTGCATGAACTACGATAGGTTCAGTGCAGATCTTGGGACTGTCCAAATTATTTGGCAAAGATATTGCTAGGTACATATATAGGTAAAAAAAAGTTACTTTACTGCGGTTTCAGAGTGGTAAGTGAGATAGCATTTGTTTGTCGCGGTCACTCGAATTTATCTCTGATATGCCTTTATTAACAGCTGCGAACTTGAGGTTTTGTGCCAGAGTCAGTAGGTGAAATAGCGGCTGTGCCAGCGACTGGCGACTGTTATTTTGGATAAATGATCTAAGCCCTGAGAGGATAAGCATGACTCGACTTTATCGCGATGAAACGGAGTGCTGAATAGGCAATATCATGTGACTCGTCGACCATACCAAACAATGAAGCGCCACGGATTTGTGGCGCGCAAGATGAAATCATTCGCTAATGAGTGACAGAGATACTTTGGCGTTGCATATACTTCTTCACACCTCCGGCAAACGCTCATTTTGAGCTTGAGTTTTTTCATTCGGGCTTTTTACACACTCACAGAGATCAAAGTGGGGCAGCTACCCTCTTGTCCTATAAATCCTTTGTAATCTTTTCTGAAGGAATATCACAAGGCAGTAACAGCAAAAGCACCACGTAGAACCGGAAGAGTGCATCTAAGATTGACTCTATATCTGGAACCAGATACAAGAGTATATAAAAACGGCCCGTTATAGAAGCTTGTTTCGTGCAGAGCAGGAAGCATGTTCAAGGGAGAGAGTTAATGTTTTTGATCAGCGTCGACTTTCTGGGTCAGAATTGCTTATCGAAATGGATGAATCGTGCAAGCACAAAATAATGTAGCCACTATTCTTCTAAAAAGGGTTTGCTGCGAAACAGTATGGTTAGTTGCACCTTATTCAACTCTCGACCTAGTCGATGGTTATGACTACATGCTGGTGAGTTCAGCTATAACTCTCTCATTCCAAGCAAAATAGTGTGGGAATGGGTAACTATGTGTCTAGCGACGTTCATCTGTCCCTTTGCCTAGTTGTTCATCCGCATCGTGCATACACGTAGATCTATCCAACAATATTTTTGTCTAAAACACGGAAATTGGATGCGGATAATCTCACTTAATATTTTGCAAGCAGTGTTCGAGTGTTTGCTTATCGATAGGCTGCCAATCCAGATCGACAAGTGTGTCCTTGGCGCCGACATATCTTCTTTCTGAATCGTTTATCGGACAAAATGGGATGCGAGCAGATCGCACAAGACAAAGGCCGTTGAAGATTGACCAGTGCCTCCGCCATATAGAACGTTCGGGATGGCCGAATACCTGCACACATAGAGTGTAGTTGCACGGCCCGACGAGCCAATTTTTTAAAAGAGGATGTCAAGTGACACTAGGGTGCCGCATATAAGCGGCCTTCAAGGCTTTGAAGAAGCCATCATGAGTGTTCTTAAGACTGAGGCAGAGCAGACGATATGGAATAGCGATTTGACTTTGGAGCAGTCGTCTGTAATGCTTCAGCCTTTGTCATGGCTGTGCTTTACACCAAGCGGATTCCAATGCGCGTGAACTCATTCTTGTGTTTTAAATTTCATTAGCCTAGAGCGGCAAGTGTTAACTACCTGGCTCAAGAATATGGCTCGAAATGAGTGAGATTCTGTCAAGTTAAGGGTACACCTGTTTGTTACTACACCATTTGTGATCCATACGACTCTGCATATAACGGCATTATCACCATATATCCCACAGAGAACGGCAAGATGGTTATTCTATTTCGCTGGGTATACCTTGAGATAAAATTCAAGCCAAATCGGCAATAGGTGGCGTGGACGCGCTTTTGTGTGGCGCTAACTATGAGCTGTGAGATGACATTATCAATTACATAGGCGTGCAGAAATTGGGACGAAAAAACGTGTGTCGCATTATCAAGAGTGTTTGCAGGGGCAGCAAATTTGTGAAGTTGAAGCTGCATGCACGAAGCGTTCGATTGTAGGTTTCGATTGCTATTCCTTACCTAAAGATTTCTGTATTTCAGGTGGTATGTCACGACGATTGCATGAAATACAGAGTATTGTGCGAGGCACGTGCTACTCTTCGGGCGGCCACATCGAAAGAGAAAAATATTTTGCATAGCGAGCGCTATGAAGTGCTGGTCTATCATGTAGAAGTTCTTAAGCACGTCAATGCACACGTTTGAAGCGTTTTAGTGGGCCGAATTCTTTCTATATGCATAGATGCCTCTAGCATATCCATCAGTTTCGGCAGAGCGTTGCTGTGTCAGAAGTTTGGACCCTTATTTTTGGAATCTTATAAGGCACGTTTGACTATACTACCATTTTGGTAATTGTGGACGATCCATACGAGCGGCTCGTCTGGGCTCTGCTATCCGAGACACCGCTACCGGTGAAGATATAGCCAAGCTGTTTTTCAACAAATTGTTTTGCCAACGTGGCTTGACGGTCGTGGTTGTGTCCGATTAAGATCCACATTTTACAGCAAATGTCTGGTTTATTTTGTCCAGAGTATTAAATACATGTTCACCACTAACTATTCATAGACAGACTATCCAACAAAATACGATTACCCAAGGCCCCCACGCAGAGGCAGCGTGGTACTGGAGTAATGTGCATGTATTTGTTGTGCTAGTGCTCAATAATGCAGTGCATGCCTCTACAGACATTTCATCAATTCTTGTTCATAACTGGATTCCACCCGGGGTTCTTGTCTCCGCCACGTAGTGGCTCCGGTCAAGCCCAAATTGATTGCAATACGGGACATCCGAGCCATGCCTTCAGCAACTGCATCTATTGGAGAAAATGCTTTGAGCTAATCTATCGCCTCACGTTCGGTTATTTTGCCAATAAAAGGAAGCACTTGTTGGCTTGTAAAATGCAAACTTATACATAAATTGGTTACATTACTATTGCCGTGTTTTAGCCATTAGAGGCTCATTTATATATTGCCCTAGTGAATAGGTGACCTGCCACGTCGATATTGATAACGGACGCGAAACATTGCCGTTCTGTGGCATCAATTTTCTAGTGCAAATGCTCCCTTTTGACCTTAATCAGGGCAAAATTTGTGTAGTTGAGCATTCATCTTGAGAGACAGTGTGCTTAAATGGAGCTGAGCAATACTCTATCGCCATACCTCATGCAGTTTTACGCGAGCAACCAACCATCACTTGAGATATGATGTCTTAATACGTCTTGAACATTCTACTATTGCTAGTGTATGGGATAGAATCCCGAGCGAACTTTCACCATGAACATTTAGCACGCGAGAAGGGATTGGGGCAAGTTCAATCCACCTAGCCAGTTTTTTCGAGTTGACTCACACTTTTGGGCGTTAAGTAATCGGAGTTTATAGCCCTCTGAACGGTCTCTGTGTTCTCGTTTTAGACTTTCTCATTCAGACTTTTTCGACCCATTATGGTCACAGCAAGCACACGAAGACGCAAAAGCCGGAGAGGTGCAACAGTACGTGACGCGAGTCTCACTGGAATCATTTAAACTAAACTGCAAATTCTTAGTTTAAATTCTGCAGGCTCCTTGCGAGAAAATGCATACCAATAATTTTCGGGAAAGCCTGAGGCTCACTCTTTAGCGTAGCTAGATACTATTGTATCTCATGAAGCATATATCTCTATGCATCTGTTGCTTTAAAAGGTCTGAACCATCCTCAAGAGCGCCGTACAGCCTCCGTGCAGCAAGTGCAAATCATGCTTTCCTATGAAAGGTGAAGCAGAATCTCTTTGAGTGCAAATGAAGTGAAATCGACCACCATCTTGCTTGCACTTTTAACGCGTTTAGTCTCTCAGTATTTCACCCCATATCATGTCGCTCCTTTTTAAATGATCATCCTATCCGTCTTTTTGGAAATACGGAGCTGCTCGGCAAGTAACGCTACCGCCATGCTCGAGGATCATCTAATTATCGTGGAAGATCGATGATCTGGTGCACGACTAATTTGTCAAGCCAGCAGTTCGACTGGTGCTAATAACCTATTTCATATATATTGCTGACATTTCTGGAAGGTTGTTCCCAAAATTTGTATTTTGCAACAACAATTTTCCTTATATCAACCCTAACTGTTCGTTATACGCGAGCGACGAGAAATAGTACAAGGCAACCAAAAAGTATTGATATATTGAATGATCCTCTCTCTGCTCATATCTCCGCATAATATTTGCTGCTTCAACTGTATACCTTTCAAGCCAGCGCCCCCGACCAAAGTGTCCATGAACTCCGACGCGTCTTTGCCCGTGACCACTGACGTAGACAATGACGCCTCCTCTTCATCATTACCATCTCACCCATCTGTTGATGCAGAAGTTCCAGACATTCCCAAGACACCTCTAGTGAATATACTAGAAGAGGCTGAAGATCTGTATCCAGCCATGATCGAATGGTCTCATCCGTGCGTGTCTGTGGGTGTTACCGGCAGCTTTAACAAGTGAGCATGACCACTAAATTACTTATAACATCAACAATCTTTAATATGATCATTTTGTAGCTGGGGATCACAGATCTTGCTTCAAAAATCTACAGACGACGCCTCGGTCTTCAATGTCAAGCTTTGGCTGCCTGTGGGTACGCATTTATTCAAATTTTGTGTAGATGGAGCGTGGCAATACGATCCAGAAGTAGCATTTGCCCCTGATGAATATGGAAACCTCAATAATTTCATCAAAATTCTTCCATACGTGGATCCTCAGACCAATCTCAAGCCGCTGCAACACACGATTCACACTATTCTCCGTGATGATCACGATGGACTTCCAGTCATGAATCCTGAAGCAAGTAAAGAACTTATGAAGCTTCGAATGGAGACGTCACCTGGCGTGGGATCTCAGTCATCTTTAAGTCTTGACCTCCATCATGATCTTCAAAAAATGTCGACGCCTCGATCGACGCCACTCTCGGTTCGTCGTCAACCTCAAGATACAGAAGACTCGGAGTACGGTATTGAAGTGAAAGAACAGCGAATAAGCAGTCACAGCACCAATTTAACGCGACCACGGGCTGGTACATTGACAAGATCTAAGAGTGAGGAATCGCTGACTCTCGTGGCTCTGAAATCGAATGATGCTGCTGCAGATGTGGCGACACCTAAATATACAAACTACATGGATGATGCGATCACGAACTCGGTCTTGTTAGCAGCTACAACGCAGCATTTTGGTGGTGATTTAGTGACACATGAACACAGTACTCGAGCGAAGCTTGGAGGCCATCGTTCTGTGCTTGTGCGTGGACCGCACACTGCGATGCAGACCACACCAAAGCACATTAGTGGTGGGAGACTTATGATCTTTTTAGTAGGTTTACCAGGTCGTGGAAAGACGTACATTGGTCACATTTTAGCCCGTCATTTGACGTGGATGGGACATCATTCCCGAACGTTTAATACTGGGGAATACCGTCGAAAACTCGTAGGATCGAGTGTCAGACACGATTTTTGGGATCCACTGAACGAAGAATCGTTCCAGATCCGCACCGAGTTGTCAAAACAGTGTCTAAACGACTCTATTGCAGCTTTAGAAAGTAACGACTGTGATTGTGTCATCTTTGATGCCACGAATGTTACACGCGAACGTCGTGAAATGTTGTTAAATGAAGTGCGTCAACGTTATAAGTGTGAAACGATGTTTATCGAGTCGGTTTGTGACGATCCGACTTTGATTGCGTCTTCAATTAATGAAATGAAGTTAAACTCGGCTGATTACGCTGGTCAGACAATGGAAGAGGCAGCACAAGACTATAGTAACCGAATCAAACACTACCAATCTCTCTACGAACCACTAGCAGCTGATCGAGAAGGAGCTCCGTTTATCAAAATTATTGACGTTGGCCGTCAAATCTTTTGTAACCAAGTGTATGGCTACCTACAGTCTCGTATTATGTTTTTGTTGGCAAATTTGAATTTAAAACCGCGGCCAATCTGGCTCAGTCGTCACGGCGAGAGTATATACAACACCCAGAAACGAATTGGCGGTGACTCACCACTAAGTCCATTAGGAGTTCAGTATGCTGAGCAATTGGATCGTTTCATTGACGCGTACTATCCGTCACGAAGCACAGACTTAGCAGTCTGGACCTCGACAATGTTGCGGACAGGAATGACAATTGAACGCATTGCAGCGCGTGGCCGCTCAATTGTCAAGTGGAAACAATTGGACGAGATCGATGCTGGAATTTGTGATGGTATGACGTACGAACAAGTGGCCGAAGAGATGCCAGATGAGTATCTTGCACGCAAGAATAATAAATTGCACTATCGTTATCCCCGAGGTGAATCATATCAAGATGTGATCCATCGTCTCGAGCCAGTAATTACAGAGCTTATGCGTATGGATCAACCTGTTTTGATTGTCGCACATCAAGCGATTCTACGGGTATTATATGCGTACCTGACGAATAAATCTCCGCATGAATGTCCCACATTAAATATTCCACTCCATGTGGTGATTCAAGTGACACCTAAAGCGTATAAATGCGAAGAAGTGTGGCATCGTCCAATGTAACAAATATTGGTCGTTTTAAACCCTGAGTTTGTCTTTAAGTCGTAGGTAATACACTTCTAATTGAATCATCTTCTTTACAACCGTTTGCTCTTCAAGTCTGTATTGGAGTTGCGTTTGTGTGTCAACAAAGGTAAGGAAGTTCTCAACTCCATCTTTGTTACGTCGTTCGACAGCCATTAACACAACAGTCGCATGATTGGCCAGACACAACATTTCCATCGTCTGTGCAAGTGCTTGCCACGACTTGCCATACAGAGGCTCATATATACAATCACATGACAGCACCACATCAATCTTTTCCGTTGCATATCGAGTTAAATACTCTTTTGTTTCTGAAACACCCCAACTCAATGGTCTTGCCACAATTCCACCTTTTGTTTCGTGATTATGTGAGAGGTTTAATACTGCGGCATTAGCAGCCAGATTTACGCGCATCAGACGCAATAATTCGTTCTGTTCAGTAAGAACAACATGGTGAGCACCTGCAATTCGTGCTGCCATACCTGGCACACCACTGGGAAGAATGTAAATCAATGCAATTTATAAAAATACTTAAGAAATGATAACTTACATTCCAGCACCCAACTCCAAAACACACAACAAGTTATGAGGATCTTGAAGTATGTGATGATAATCATGAAGAAATCGCCGAGTTAAGTGCACAGCTGCATCCCATAATAACGTACCAGCCCAAGCTGCACCAGAAAACAATGGAGCAAGTTCATCTGCTTGCTATAAATTGTTGTATGAGTTAAAATGATATTGAGGTTCTTTAATCAATAGATTTCTTACCATTACTAGTGTCAAATTCAGATCTTTACCATTCACACGCACGCGAATAGTTTCTTCAACCTTATTCACATTCTCTTCAGGAAAGACCTCAAGAGTTGACATACTCAATGAAACCAAACACTTAATTAATTAACATTTCATGTCCTCTCAATTTAATGAAATCACTTTTGAAAGGGAAAGACCCCACAAAAAGCAGTCAAGGATTTTTCAACCGAAGAACCGAAAGTTTCGAATGGCACATTGGTGGCGACGCGACGAGCTTTTAGCGCTTTTACATGCGTGGGAACAAGCAGTTGATATACCACGAGACCGTGATGAGATTACAGAGCGTGAAATGCACCAATTGTGCATGCGATTTGATGCGTTACGACCACGAGATAGCGTGACTGTATCAGTCCAAGAAGTCGAAGCTCAACGCCAGCGTTTGGTTCGTACTTTTCTATTCCTTCGTGCATTTAATGCTGAAAGTTCACGTGCTGGACGTCCGACGTGGTTTCAGCTACCAACTCAACAACAAGACGATTTACGTCGCATGAATGGACGACTGGGCGAGTTAGCAACTGTGACGCCGGATGAGTTTGATCTTTTACGTCGAATATGTGAAGAAGTACCTGCGCCTCCCCCAGTCGAAACAACTATGTCTCCAATACAGTCACAACGACAAGATCGTCCTTTGGCTGACGAGATGAAAGCAGCAGCCGAAGCGCTTGCAGGGTTGCCAATGTTTCGATCGAATCAGACACCAGCGCCACCTCCATTGTCCCCCCCATTGTCATCTATTGATGAAATGAAGACAATTAATGAGAGAACTGACTTTAAACAAGAAGAAACGTCAGACTCTGACAATTTGTCAGATAGCGAGTCGGAAGATGAGGAAACAAAAAGGAAAAGTCGTAAACGAGAAGAAGATTTAGATTACTCGCCTCCAAAAATCAAGAGCAAGACGAAAGTGAAAATGACATCTAAGTGGTCGAAACGAGAAGAACATCGATTGTTATTAGCGTGGCATGAGATTGTCACGGTACTATCAAAGAATGGATTTGAGGGGTCGTTTGCTTCGCGAAATGATGGACTTCGACTAAATGCATTGATTCATCAACGGTATATCGAGCTATGTGGTGACAACGATACGCCTCGTACAAATCAGTCGTCAGGTGCAAAGAAACACGCCATTATGACGGCATTTCGAGCATTACGCAATGTACTACGGACGTTAGCATCTCAAAGTGATCGTCCCAACTGGTTTGGAATGACACCTGAAGAACGAATGGAATTGCAAAAAAAGTATGGTCATCACAACGAACAAGCTGTTTTTATTGAAAAAGAATCGTATCAACGTCTCGTACAAATCGACAAAGCACAGCAAATCGTTTTAACTCCAACAGCTGATGCTCCTCGCCCTCCAACAACTTTGGATGAGCTATTAGGACGAAAAAAAGAACAAGTTTTCAAAAGGGAAAGTCAAAGTTATGGAAAACTTACACCTAATTCCGGACCACCTCGAAGTTACATGATTGCCGATAAATCATCGGAGGAATCTAACGATGACGAGTCAGAAGATGACAATGCATCATTGCAAAGTCGTAGTACCGAAACATCGAATCGACGAGCTAATTCTCAAGTACGACCTAATCGTTATAAAAGTCTAGCAACGAAATCTACTCGTGAGGTCGATCCTGTTGACGACAGAGAGACAAGTGTTCCATACAAACGTCGACGTATGATAAAAAGTGATCCAAAGTGGGTGACACAGTTGTTGGAAACCCAGACAAGGCGATTTGAAGCCCTTTTGGACGAATTTCAGGAAGAACGACGACAAGAACGTCAACATAATGTAGAGATTATTCTTGAAGCACTTAATTTGCGCCGTGCGATTGTTCAAAAGTCAGACCAGCCTTCTCAATTTGTAGAAATGTTGGTGGAGAGACAACGTCAGCATTTGCTCAGTTTGTTTAATCAACTGCAAGATGAACATTCGCGAGAACGAGAGCAAGCGCGATCGCTGCTGCGTGAGCTCGGAAGTGCTCGGCTTGTTAGTCAAGATCAGCACGAGAAAGATTAGTTACTCTCAACTTTGTATTGTAATTGGTACTCGTCATTTTGGAAGATATGACAATCTGTATACAATGCGCGACAGTTTCTACTTCTTGTAATTTAAATTTTAACAGCTTTTGATTGGTTGAAAATGGATGTCACTTATTTTTGAGACGGATAGCGAGAATAATTTCTTAGAACGACTCGAGGCGAGCTTTATGCTAGGGATATGCAAGGTAAGTAAGCGGACAACTTTTAATCAATTTTGAAGTAGTTTCAGTACGGCAGATAAAAAAACGGTATAAGTGCTGTGATCTTATGAAGTACATACAATACGGTATAATTGTATTACACGTGGTGTATCGTGAAATCTTGAAAGCACTGGTGTTTATGAAGATTATAGAACCCCGGGAAGAAGAGGTCCGAGGTTGCTAACCGCACGTCAGACAATGAAGATTGAAAAATTGGGTATATCCAGTATTAGTCATTGATTGTACGTATGGGTCCTCTTATAGTGGTAGAGCAAACTAACTCACCGCTCCTGAAAAACTTGTATACACTCAATCGATGCACGCTTGGTAGCGCGTACTCTAAGGGTGAAAGCTTACGACGTTTAGAATCTTCCCTGCTGCATATGGTTGTACTTGTAGTATACTTACGATTCGTGAAAAACCTTAAGACTATAACATGAAACGACTATTTCGGGTAAAAACAAGAGCCGCTTAACAAGCTTGTATCTATCTTAGATGCCGATTCAATTGCGACACTGGTGGCAAAAGGCCCGGTGCAACGAACGCGCCTGGCGGCAGACACAAGTTATAAGTATAAGCTGGTGAAGCTCGATCAGGTGGAGGAACAGATGGCTCTATCCGTAAGGCCGATGATGTTGAGTGTCCTGGTCTTTGATGGCTGAGGCGAGGAATTTCTGTCTCTAAGTGAAAAAAGGTGAGGCGGTCGTGGATTCGGCCTTGCTCCACCCGGAGCCACAGCCTGCAGCTCTTGCGATCTTCAAGCTTTGAGGTCGAGAGCGAGAATGGGCACTATACTACAATCGATCGATAAGAAGCTGTTCGCAACGTGTAGAAGATTCAAGCGACAGATGTTGCGTGTGGTTGTACCAACTAATCAGACGAATTAGATACGTTCATTATTTTTGTCTGTCCGTGAAGAAAAAGTGAGAGATGGTAGATTATGTCCAGGAGTGAGGAACTTTAACCACTGCATTGTCGTCTGATCTCTCTCAGAGGCGCTAATGGTTACCACCTTCATGGGTGGCCCTTGAAAAGGCGTGGCTTTCTCGTCTACCCTTCCTCTGCTGCGGCAGCATCCGGTGTCGCAGTTAATGCGAAGTACAGTTTCCATGTCACGAAGACAGAATATGAATTGACGTATGCCAAGTACACCAGAGGTAATGACCCGTATTCATGCTGAGAAGAAATGGAGAGATATCTTTGCTGCTGAGTAGCTCTGCGTGAATCCGCACATTTAAATCTACGGTAATAAAAAACGTCTGCGCCTTGCGTGCCCCCTTAGCTCCTGACTGAGAGATACGAAGGGTCGAGCTTTCGCGCAAGGGAGCACGACAGATCACTGGCATTCAAACAAGAAATTCCTAGTAGGTAGAGGGTGGCCTTTCACGAATAAACTGGATTAATTGTACCCCATGGAGGTCGTGCTGAATGATATATGCAGCAATTCGCTTTACGAAAGAGGAGACTTGCAGCCCTGGCTTCTTAGTTGTTGACATAAACATAGTGCTTTGTGAGCCCACAAAAGTAATTCCAAGAGTGTGGTGCAATAAACGATTGATGCGCAACTGTCTACAACAACAGACAGTACGAGATGGTATTGAAGATGTCAAATCCGGATACAATATATGTGCGTCGTGCGACGAGGACACTGACAGGAATATCAAAGGTTATTTTGAGCCTTCAAGTGAAATTTGAGAACAATAACTGCGAGGAAGGCTGACTACTCCAGGATTTTATTTACGATGAGATTCCATCTTAGATGTGACATAGCTGGATCATCACGAGCTACATGCCGACTAATAGTCAAAAATGCTGGTGCCACACTTCGAGCGAAACCCGCTGAGGTCAAAGCCATTGTGGACCGGCCGGTCCCAAAGAATCAAAAAGACTTGCGCAAGTGGCACGGCCTCGCCAACTACTTGCACAAGTATTATGCGGAAGTGGTACGGCCATTGTCGAATTGCCTTCAGAAGGATGCGGAATGGTGATTAGAAACGAAACGTCGGGAGGCTTTTGGCGGGGTCAAAGACAGCCTCCTTCATGCACCAGTACCGGTGTTTTCAGATCCCGATCGTCCTCCTAATGTCGTCTGTGACGCCTTGGACTTTGCCATCGGCTGTGCACTGCTGCAAGCAGACGCTGAGGGGCGAGATCGGGTG